ACACACACACACACACACACACACACACACACACACACACACACACACACACACACACACACACACACACACACACACACACACACACACACACACACACACACACACACATACATACAGACGTATGGACATCATCGTAAAAATAGTCAGGGAAGCTTCCTGTGACCTTCAAACGTCGAAATCTGATGAAAACTCGATTTTTGTAAAACGGGGTGAAAACAATAACTTTCCGATTTTCGAAAATCTGAGATTTTTAGCGGGAAGTTAAAAATATATTTTAGAATATAAAAAAAATATATTTAAAATATAATCACTAAAATATATAAAATATATATTTAAAATGTAAAAAAAATATATTTTTTTTATATTTTGAGTAAAATTATGATTACAGGTTCTGAAAATGCCTCCGGAGCTACATAAACCCTTAGAGTTCTGAAGTCATGAAGTAAATAAGGCTTATTGTAATACTGGTTGACCAAAACTTAATTCTAGGTAGTTTGAAAATTTTGAGTAAAATTTAGCAAATAAAGACTTGGGTAGCGAGAATCGAATGAGCCTTGGTCCAAAACTGGTACACTGAGACCTGTTCTATAACTATAAGGTGGCAGGCTGATATTGGCATACTAATATTTGGTCGATAAGTATTACTTTTATAGCTAGATAGGTTACTCTGCTACATTATTATACATTGGTTAAGTTAATTAAAATAAAAAATTACGAGATAGTTTTTTCATGTATAATTATTAAATAATTTATTAAATAAATAAGTAAAGTAATTAATAGCCATTTATCACATTCAAGTAAAATCAATAAATTAATTCAAAATTTAATTAAACTTAACATTAATAAAATTAATTTAAATAAACTCTAAACATAAAAATTGCTTGTTTATCTTAGTCACTTTCTTCTGACCTCGTATTGTTTTCCCGGTTAATTTGTACTCGATTTTTTGTTCTTAATGCATTTAGCTTATTGGTAATAGCAGTGTTTAGCGCCGCTTCCTTATATTGATTCGGAAACTTTTCTCGAACAGTATCTTTAATTTTATAAAAAAAATTTTTTGACCCAAGAAACTTTATGAACGATTAAAATCATAATAGATGAAATAAAATTTACATTTGATGGCTCTCAAGAGATTAGCATCCAGCGTCTTATGTTGTTCTGGTTTTTTTTTCTTGGTTACTTTACATTTTCCACCATTTACATTACTTTGGAGTAATGTTCTCAAGTCGTATACTGCCAGGAGTAATGAACATGCCATCGATGTATAACTATTTTTTACTTTGGCCGTGTCCCATGATTCAGTTGAAATAATTACATTACTCTCTGACCTCCCTATCTCGATCTAAGTCATAAACATTAAATTAGGTTTTTTCTGTAATTTTACTTTTATGTTTAACAATTATTCATGATTATTATGACATATTCTTGCAATTATTGATGATTGAGAGATAAAAATAACAAAGTAAAAAAATTCACATAACTTATAGTGAACAATTGTTCATGTAAATTGTACATTTGTTAGATATGAATATTATGATTCAAAAAAATTAAAACTTTTATAGTTCAATTATAAAATTTTTCGCTAATCTTTAAATAAGAGTTTGATTACTTAATTCACTTTTTTGAATAAGTTTCAAAAGTTAAGTTAGTTCAGAAATAACAAAATTTTCAAAAGTTCCGTCACGAAAAGAAAATATATCAGTCAAATCTTTAACCAGAAAAGAAATATTTATGGTAATATTATATTACTAATATGTAACAAAGTCTAGTTGCGGAATCGTAAGAAAAAAAATTGTTTCACAGTAATGTAATTGTCATTCTGTATCGTGTATCGTCACCGAAAATAATTTATTTCCAGTAAATATACTTCACCGATCAATCCCAACAATAATTTACCTTTAAAACTTTACAAATCGTGTTTATTAGACGATAATTATCGAAATTGCTCTATTTTTACAAAGCTATTACTCTAATAATAGTTTAAAAAGCTCAATTCTGGAAAGCTTCAACAATGGTTGCTGAAGATAATTAATTTCCAAATTTGATATTTGCTTATACGTTTTACATACTTCGTTTAGTGAAATCGGTCGAGCATATACTGTTTCTGGAGTTTTAGTTTGCGTAACGGAAATATTCGAAGGTTGTCTGGAGTTCGACGATAATCCTGAAGAAACTGTAACGTTGGATGACCCAGGTCTGGTTTCCATCTTATTAATTCTTTTTTGTAAATTCCCTATCGTTTATTTATTATCTTGACTAGCTTCAAAAGAAACAATAACATTATGATTATTAAATTATTATTGTTATTATTTATTTTAGTCTGAAATTTACTTAACTAAGACTCTTTCAGTAGTTATTAAGTGTTAGAAACCGTCAATGTTTGTAAAATTTTGTAATCACATACATAATAGAATCTTTATTTACTTTAATACCTTTCAATATCACTCGCAAACTTGGTTCATTTGATGTACTAGGTGATGAAAATCTATCTCTATCATTTGGGGTCTTATCGTTTTCCAATAAAAAATCTCTGATAGTTCCATCCGTCGATGTCTTTAAGCAATTAAAAGAATTATATTCGACTCATTATCTAAGTAAGGTATATTAAAATATTGGAACAAGATAAAAGGTGTACTCGGACTAAGAAAAATGTTCAGTAAGATGAACTCGGTTTTGGAATAAGAAAAAAATTTTTGGAAACCAAAAAATATTCGTATCTTAAGAAACTTTTAATTTATATGCGAATAATTTTGGTTTCCATAAAAATTTTTTTTATTTTTACAATTTATAAATATACACTCATAAAAATTTGTAAGTACAAATTACTAAAATATACCCTTCTTT